CGAGTATCAAATCAATGGTACGGAATGCGACTGAGATGGAACTGGTCGCGGAGCAATTGACTGACGCGATCATCTCTTCTTTTGAGGAAAACTGCCCCCAGACTGTCAGAAGCCACAAACGGGCAACACCCTGGTGGACCGTCCAGCTAGAGGCAAGGAAAAGGCAGGTAAGGAAAAACTGGAATAGGGCAAAAAGATCCGGCGATTGGGGGAATATAAGACCTCTTTGACCGAATATAACAAGGAACTGAAGAGAGCAAAGAGATTATCTTGGAGGAGGTACTTGGAGAATGTGCCAGACTTCAAAAAATACTCTCTAAGGACTCTCAGACCTCAATTAACTCTCTTGTAACTAGTGCAGGAGAATACACATTCACTGGGAAAGAAACGCTGACCGAACTCTTTCTGGTACACTTTCCCAGATCAACAGCCTTGGAGCAATCCCCAGAAACCTGGAAGAGTAGTGGACTTGAGAACTTCACGAGAAGAGCCTCAAGGGAAGACTGGCAGGTTTCAAAAGGGTGATTGACCAATCAAAGATAAAATGGGCTATAAGCTCATTTGAGCCATTCAAATCACCGAGACCGGCCGGTATTTGTCCAATAATGCTCCAGCAAGGACCAGACCTACTGACGAGTAAACTTTACACACTACTAAGAGCTAGTCTGGCCTTAGGATATATACCGAGAATTTGGAGGCTGGCCAGGGTAGATTTTATACCCAAGAATGGGCGTCTGGACTATTCTGCAGCGAAGGCCTTTAGGCCCATCAGTTTTATGTCGTTTGTACTAAAGGCTCTTGAGAAACTAATGGACAGGTATGTTAGGGATGAAGTAATGGGAAAAAGACCATTTTACCAAGACCAGCATGCCTACACAGCAGGACGATCAACCGAATCCGCACTCCATAAGATAGTAAGCAAAGAGGAGTCGACGTTCGAAACAAGAGAAGTGCTTTTAGGGGCATTCCTCGACATAGAAGGGGCGTTTGATAACACCCCATTTCAGTCACTGACGAGAGCTACAAGGAACCTCGGATTAGAGGAGACCTGCTGCAGGTGGATAGACTGCATGCTCAAAAGTCGAGTGGCATATACCACCCTACTAAATGAGACTGTTGCAGTCCGGGTGGCGGGAGGATGCCCGCAGGGTGGAGTTCTCTTCCCTCTGCTGTGGAATCTCGTTATGGACGGACTGCTTGATAGTCTCAACAGGGCTGGTTTCAGCACTCTGTGATACGCAGACGATTTGGTCGTGTTAGTCAGAGGTAAGTTTAACACAACAGCAAGGGAGCGAAAGCAAAGGGCCCTGAAGATTGTGGAATCATGGGTGACACGGGAGGGACTAAATATCAGTCCTACAAAGACCATAATAATCCCCTTCACCAAACGAAGAATTTTGGAGGGACTAGGACCTCTAAGACTCTGCGGTGATGAGATTCCTCTCTCGGGGAGGTCAAGTATCTAGGAATCATGCTGGATACCAAACTGACCTGGAACCGACATTTGGAAAATGTCACAAGGAGGGCGGTGACTACACTAGCGGTAGTCAGACGACTTCATGGAAAAATCTGGGGCCTCAGACCACAGATGGTGCACTGGCTGTACACTGAGTGGTGAGGCCTTCAGTAACATATGCATCCTTGGTATGGTGGCCTAAGGTAATGCAACAAACAACAATGCTCAGCCTTAGTAAGGTGCAAAGACTTGCTTGTCTGAGCATAACAGGGGCAATGAAATCAACGCCCACTGCATCAATTCTGGACCTTCCGCCTCTTCACATAGTGATCCAGTCGGAGGCAAGAATGGGACTCTATCGACAACAAAGTGTCTAGTCTCCGGGAAATAGGACAGAAACAGGACACTTAAAGATTCTCCGATAGAATCTCATCGGAGGATCTCTACTCCAAATGAGATCGGACCAAATGACCCCTCTTTATCACTACCACAAACCATTCGAGGTGAACAAAATGGATCGAGGAATGTGGACAGATATAACATTCCTTCAGGATGGACTAACCTGGTATACAGACGGGTCAAAGACCGCTGAATGAACAGGAGCTGGAGTATTTGGGGAAAGACCAGGGGCAAGCTTATCCTTTTCCTTGGGTAAACACTCAACCGTATTCCAGACAGAAATCTTCGCCATTCTACAATGTACAAGAGAAAACAATAGAAGAGCTTATTCAGGTAAGCTCATCAATATATGCTCAGACAGTCAGGCGGCACTTGGGGCGCTTGTGAACCCAAAGGTATCGTCGAGACTCGTCTGGGAATGCCTGGGTGAACTGGGAGCTCTGGCACGAAGGAACAGAATTAAATTATTCTGGGTGCCGGGCCACAACGGCATCCAAGGCAATGAAAAAGCCGATGAGCTAGCTAGGCAGGGATCATCGGCATCCTATCTTGGTCCAGAGCCAGTACTGAGAATACCCAAATGTATGGCCCGTAGTGCACTAAAACTCTGGATCAAGGAAAAGCACAATGTCCACTGGAGAAACAGACAGGAGCACAGGCACAGCAAGGCTTTTATCCAAGGACCTAGCTCTAAAACCGCAAAAGAACTGCTAATGCTTAGCAGGAATAAAGTGCGGATTACACCAGGCCTCTTGACAGGACACATGGCTGTCAAGTGTTATCTGAACAAGCTCAACCTGTATCAAGGAAGTCTTTGCTGCAGACTCTGCGATAAAGATCCTGAAACAGCGGAGCACATAATATGTCATTGCGAGGCTCTGGTTTGGTTTGGCACAGGACACAGGGATAGGAGCTCACAGGTCGCAGTGTTTCCGGCAGAGGACGGCCCCTTGTTATGGAAAAAAAAAGCTCCTTGATTAAAAATTAGTGTTTTAACACAGCCATGGCACTCTATATTGAAATTTAAATACAATTTTGTTTTAAACGAATATGTCAAAAGTTGACATATGATATGTCATTCTATTCAGAGTGTCGTTTTCTATCGAATAAAGTAAAAAATACCGAGGGTGCTATTTAAAAATCAAAAGTTGTAGTAATTTCTGGTGAAACAGGAAGTGGCCGAAAAATATCTGAAATTATATTATATCTGAAAAAAAAAATTATAGAGGTAAGCCACTTTTGAGACACGCTAATGCCAGGCAATTTAGTCACAATTTTACTATACTTACCTAATTAGTTATCAAGAAGAAATTAGCACTACCATAGCTTACTTTTTCAGTTGCATTAATTAAAAGTAAATAATTATCCATTTTTATCGTATTTTATAAAATACTTAGTCGTATTTCAAAAACAAATCGGTACAAAATACGAGAATAAGAATTTTTGGAAATGTGGATGTTATGACAAAGTCACTGAGCGAGACAAAAGTAGTAGTAGAGTAGTAGAGTAGTAGTATTAGTAGTAGTAGTAGTAGTAGTAGTAGTAGTAGTAGTAGTGAGCGAGACAAAAATATACATCATTCCATTTTAAAAACTACAAATTTAGTGTAATAATATATTTGAACCATCCTGTATATAAATGAAATTATTTAGGTAAGTTTATTGTCCGTGTATTTTATAAGAAAGATTGAAGTGAAAATCCCAGATAGAAAACATGAAAATTAATTTTCCCGAACACTTAATCACCCTGTACAGGGTGTCCCATGTGCGTGTTTTACGGGGTTTGGTTTGGTTGGGTTAGATTTTATGAGTAGAGATACAAAGAGGCGGTTTTCACTAGTAATGGGATAACTCGAAAATTCGCTCGAGTACTCGATTATTGAAATAACCGACATCGCTGGATTATGAACGAGCGATGCAAGTGAGGAGTTACGAGCGACGAACGCAAGCGATCCTAGAATGAAATAAATTGAAATCCGATTTTAATCTGACATACTCGATAAAAAGCCGAGCGAATTTTCTATATACATTGCAGGTAGCAAATACGACGTTATATGAAATAAAAATAGAAGCTTTGAACTTAAGCAAATTACTCGACGCTTGCTACTTGCATTCATCACCGAAAGAATATGTGCTCTGCGCTTACTGCTTGGCGTTACGCGTACAAGCGACGCGACACGTCGGGCGACGGGCGAAAAACCGTATTTTTAAATACGAGCGATATTTCGCTCGAGCGATCGCTCGATTATTAAAATCGCTTGAAACTCGAGTACTCGATTATTGAAATTAATCGGTTTTTCCCATAACTAGTTTTCACATCACTATATAAAAGTTAAATAATGCATATTTTACCCTATTTATGAAAATAAGTATAATACAGTAAGTCCCCGGATTGTTAAAAACGAACATGTCACTGCTTTACAAGAGAAAAAAACTTTTTTGTTAATATTTTAAAAAAAATGCATTCTTCATAAAAATTTTTGCTTGTTCTAAAATGGTTAATCCCGTTTACATTTTTCCAAATTTCCATACCGCTTTAGAGAAAATTTAAAATAAACCATAAAAATATGGTTGAATTTTTCCTAAAAGTTGTAAAAATCAAAAGGCATTTCTATGGTAATATAATTTAGATATCTTTATTTGATAGATGCTTATCAATGGTTATTATTTTGGGCGCATTCAGCAAACACACCGGTATTAACCAGTAAAGACCTACCGATAACTGTTCATTGAACGATTAAATTACCGGTACCTACGTAAATAAACCGGGAAGAAAATACGGTAGGCTCTCAAGTGATCGGTGACCACAACCGGTGAGTTACCTTGGCATTGGGCGCATTCAGTAAACACACCGGTATTAACCGGTAAAGACCTACCGATAACTTTTCATTGAACGATCAAGTTACCGGTACGTAAATAAACCGGAAACAAAATACGGTAGGCTCTCAAGTGATCGGTGAATCAACCGGTGAGTTACGGTGTTAATATCACGGTGATAAAAAATGGAATAATATAATAATAATAATAATAAAACGTCTTTATTCATTAATTTCAAAAATTGAAACACACGGTATACCCTATAGGGCGAAGTTTAGCTAGAGAGCTATTCTACCACTTAACCCCGAATAAATAAATAAAAATTTAGATTTACGTTTTACACCAATCACTTTATTGAAATTTATCACAATTATTATAACTGCATTTCACTATTTTACTAGTTGATTAAGTCAAACATAACATATAAATAAATGACTTTTGAGCAACAAAATATCTCTAATAACTAGCGATAGTAGTTTAATACATATGATAACGTAAAGATCAAGTTGTTGAAGAAATATATAATTATATTCATATATAGTTAGTACACTCTGATAAGCTAGCTGGAATATAAGGCTGTAAATAAACCCATTATAAGACTTACTTCACAGAGCATTCTAAAACCACATTTTTAAACTTTTAAATAAACATAAACACATACCGCTTATAACATACATGCAAATAAATTTTAAAATATTATAAACCTCACTGCACACATAAAATGAAATATATACCTTGGCAAATGAAAAATACAGAAGAGATTATTAAAATATTGTACATAAGCAATATTTAGGTAGCTAAAGATATGTAATATTACAGTTTAATAGAATTTAAAATTGAAAACTATAATCCCCGCGCTATTTAAAAACTGAATGTGATTATTATTAGCTATTTTGAGAAGACGGATTATTTTTAACTGACTTGTGGGCGCTGTACATAATAAAATACATAATTATATGATTTAAATATGAAAATCATAGAATTATGGATTAATACATTATCAGTACCTACAATGTTACAATTATAATTTTAATAAACATACAAAATAATACAAGTGCCTTTATAAACTAGTATACCAGTTTATAAAAGCACTACTATATATTAACAAATTAATTAACATGTCCTTTGATATTCATAACAGTACAATAAGTATTTAATCAAAGAAACTTTTAATGTGTTGTAAAGCGCATGTTCCATACGATGCAAATTTAAATATTGTGAAAATAAGAAAAGAACTATTAATAACTGCAATTAGCAGAAACAACTGGTATCTTCAATTGATAAAATTAGGGTTGTAAACTTAATAAATTTTATATTAAATTTATGAAATTGTATCATCTATAAAAATACACGTAAGTATAGATTTAAAAATAAAAACATCTTAGGTTTTTATTTTTAAGTCTTCTTAAGTCATTGCTTTGTGAGGATGATGTGGACGTGGATGATCCATTTTATAAAATAAATATATGATTGAATGATGAGGTCAAATTATCTAGATACTATACATAGATTAAGGGTCAATTATCTATATACATAGATTAAGATCAATAAACATTTTTATAAGCCGAAAAGAATAAATTTTTTATTTTTTAGAAAAAGATAATTTCTCTGCCTTGTTAGAATGCTAATATTATATTCGCCAGACAAAAAACATGTAATTTATCAAAAGTGTTACGTTAGTGTTAATTATATATTGTGTATGCTGGAAAATCTCACCACTGTAAGTCCCTGCAAAAATGTGAAAACAAATTCATACAAACTGAAAAAATAATGTATAAGGTATTTCAAAGTTTGTTTTTGATAAATGGTTGGTAATAAAAAAACTAGCTAATAATAATTCATTCAGATTAATTTACTACCTCACTCTATTTCAAAAAGTGAGTCCAAATTTTAATTACTGCATTCCCTCATTGACTATAGAATATGTTTACTTAAAAGATAAAGAATATGATAAACATATAGCTAGAGACAATTATTAACAAATCAAATAGTATTTAACTTGAATAATACCTTTATATTTACAAAACTATATTATTTAAATTTGACCTTTTTAAAGTCATATTTTTACACACACTAATAAAACATTTTACTCAATACTTAATTAATAAAAAAAACAATAAACTGACTAGGATTTCTACACTTCATAATACAAATTTCTCTATTTAATGCTCAACATTTGATACATTTATTTAGGATAAAAATGACTTAAAAAGTAATTGATAACATGTCAGTCTTACTGACAATATTTTAAACGTGTAAAATAGTGAGCATTAAAATATTAAAAATACTTCCAAAAATTGCACAACTCACTCTATAAACAAAAATAATAACTCAAGAGAACCTTTGGAAGTAGAAAGCTCATACCAAGAAAATGATTATGATTTTTAAAATTATAATTTCACTAATGTTCACTAATGTTATATGTTGTTGTATGGACACTCTGCACTTGACATGAAGTATATTCTGGCTTGCGCTATTTAATGTAAATAGTGCTACGTGCTATTTTTCTATAGTACAATATATACATTAACACTAATAAATAAAATACATTTAAAATATAATACACTAAAAATCTTCATCACAAGCAAGTATAATTTTCCCACTTACATTTTGTTTTCTCATTTCTTTAATATTCAAATTCCCTATTTATAACTGAGATAAGTTATAACATTTTCCTTCATACAAATATATATACCTATTTGTATTTTTTTAAATAGCAATAGCTAAATTTTTAAATGAATTTTAGTAGCAATTATGTCAGATATTCAGTACTGTATAATTTGCAACATAGGTATATCCATAAAAATTATTAACTTATCAATCCTAACACCCCAATGTGATGAAGTGCAGTGTCATGCAGAGTATCCCACAACCTTTAAGCACAGGGCAGATTCTTTTGGAAGAACCATGGCATACGGCAGTCTGAGTATCTAGTCTAGCCTGGGCGTATTTAAAGAGAATTCTGAAATTACAATTAGAGATTTTTAACTACTGAATACTAGATAATTATTTATGCTAGATTATTAAAATTCTTTAAGTGTTCTACAACAGAAATCTACTGTTTATTGAAACATAATTTTTTGGATGAAACCTGTTTTAGAAAAAATCTGTTATGCTGATTATGTATATCTACAGCTATGGTTAAAGAATTAATTTTGAAATGTTTTATTTTTTTATATTCATTTGATAATCAAAACTCTAGATATTAGGGGCAACAAAACCTTAAAAAAAAATAAAAAATTATATAACCAATACACCTATTCCAGTCTGATTTATTTTTGGTGTTCTAGATGAACTAGATACAAATGGACCCCTAATGATATAAAATTTATATACGCCCATGGCCTAAGACTGGCAAGGCTACTTACGCACATAAATAATCCTTAGAACTCAGCAAATTCTTTTGCACATTTCTCAGTGGATGATATACGCAATGCCTCTTCCTCATAGTCATCAAAATTGCTAGTATCTCCTGGACCCTTACATCTAGGTATAAAAGGAGCTTCAATCTTTTTCTGAAATATAGCTATCCAATCTGTGGATTGAAACCATTTATGACCCTTGATATCATTAACACCAGCTTTGAGATTTCCATAACGCTTTGTAAGATCTACTTGTAAAAGATTGCGGAGAAGATCTTTCAGGTCGGAACCAAAATGTGAGGGAAATCGAACTTTGCCAGAAACTATCTTCTCATAAATTTGTATTGGCTGATCAGCAAAAAATGGGGGATAACCAGCAGCCATTTCATAAACTAAAACACCAAGTGCCCACCAGTCTACAGCTTTATTATATCCCTTGCTGAGAATTATTTCTGGAGCCAAATACTCAGGAGTTCCACATAAGGTCCAAGTACGACCTTTAACACGCTTGGCAAAACCAAAATCAGTTACTTTCAAATACCCCTGCGAGTCTATCAGTAAATTTTCTGGTTTCAGATCCCTATATATCAGATCTAAGTAATGTAGATACTCAAAAGCAAGCACTATTTGCGCGGCATAAAACCGCGAATGGGGCTCAGAAAAGCGACCCACTTTCCGAAGGTGAGAAAACATCTCACCACCTGGCACATACTCCAATACCATGTAAAGGTTAGAATTGTCTTTAAAATGAAACCGCAGACTAACAAGAAATGGAAAACTGATTGCTTGTAAAATACGTTTCTCATTAAGAGTATGTTCAACCTGTTTCAATTTAACGACTTTCTGCTTGTCAAGAATTTTCATAGCATAATATTCCTTTGTAGGTTTGTGTTGTACTATCATAACTCGTCCAAAGGAACCTGTACCCAATGTTTTGATTCTTTCAAAGTCATCTAAAGATGCTGTATTTGTTGGATTTTTCTTCCATTTTTCTTCAAAGTCCTCTTTAGCTTGGTCCAGGAACTCCTTGACGGACTCCGCAGAATCGACCTTCTTGTTCGCCGTAGCGGCATTGTTGCCCATGGTTTGAACTTTTAAACCTTCCAGGGCTTCGAATTTCCTTTGCACACTCCGCCTAAAGCACCAAGCAGGTTGCAACAGCGGCGGAGGATACGAACGTCACACTAACAATCGTAGTTGTCCGCGATGTCAACACACACTTGATCCGATCATTCTTACAATTTAAAGTCACACGAACCAAGAATACTCCAAATTACAAAGAAGGTGAAAACACACGTATCACAGCCACTAATAACAAACTTCAATGAAGGAAAATATCCAACCTTTCTACAAGTCAATAATAAAATGGCCGCGCCGTTATACCCAAGTTGCCAAATTTTCAGTTCATTTGCCACAATTTCTAGAAATAGGAGCAAGTTCGAATAACCGATTAGTCAATTATAGATTTCTAAATGTCTGACCCAGATGTCACTTCTTACTATACTGAGAAGTGCCCTCTATGACATAGTAGATAAAACTATCTTGGAAACAATACATTTTTCCGAAATGCAAGTTTATTATTACTATAATTATTATTACAACTTGACCAATTTTTACTCTTCCAAAACAATCCTAGAGTATAAAGTACATGCGAAACCACAAATATAGCAAATATATCTGTTTATTCATAACTAATAAAAAGAATTGACCTTGTCCCAGAGATCGAACCCTTATAGAAGTTATAGACCACTACAACGCCACTACGTTTAATAATAATAAATGATATCGATATCAGATGGCGCCGATTAAGCTGGAAAATAGTAGGTTTCTGCTCTCCTAAAAAGTGTTTAGCAGATTTTATCCTGGTATTAGTCCGTCATACATAGAGGACACCAGAGGCGAACATTGCATTCCTGCAAGTCCAACAAACTAGCATCTACGTCCTACTAGTCTACTCGGGCACCGAACAATGTTGCCAAGTACTAGATCTGAATTTTTACTACATTCAAAGTGAAAGTTATAATTTTATAAAATATTTTTACTGTTTTTTTTAATTCAAATATTATACTTTGTTAAAAAAATATAAGATATATTAGTAATAATTACTTTTGATAAAGTATTAGATTTACATTTTCACTGAATTTTATTCAGAGCAGTGGCGGCTCGTCAGGGTAGGCAAGGTAGGCGGCGCCTACCCTAAGATTTTGGCAGAATTTAAGCGATTTATTACATTACATGATTTACTATTAATGTTGCCAATACATAAAAATACTGTTAATGCAAGGAAGTGTGTTTTAATAACAAATATTATTTTAATATTTGTGGTCTTGTATATTAACATATTTACTACCGCTGGCCTACGCTGACCGCTGACTGTGCCGCTGCGTTAGAAAACAAAATAATTTTGACATTTGAACATTTTGCGGGCTTGTTCGAAATTATTAAAAATGATATAACCGGTTGTATTTCAGAACACGCCACAGAAATAAAAGTTTCCGAAATAAAAAAGCACGTTATTTTACTCAGTGCAAGAAGACGATACAACAGATATTACAGAAAAGTCTCTATGCTATTTCAATTCGATATGTTAATAAAAGCGGCTAAGTCAAATATCTTTGCGAATTTTATTTTATGAAAAATTAGATAACATTGTTATACATTTAGAAATAAGGTTTGCAGATAGGTACTCGTATGTCTCAATTATTTTTATTTATCTCTTGCGGATCTAAAATTTAAAGAATCCTATAAAAATTTTCCAACGCATTTAATAGCAATTTAACAAAAAAAAATGTTATTGACCAACATAAATTAATGAATTGCAGGTATTAATATATAGATATGCTAATTTCGAGCATAAAATAATTTAAGGAGAATAATCCTGGAAGTATATTTCCAGAGGCTTTCAAATTGTTTGTTTTGTTTGTACACACCATTTACAAGTACTTGGGTTGAGAGACATTTTTCATGTTTGAAATGCATTAAAATCTATAGTAGAGATTCCATGAAAAATAAACGTTTATCGCCACTTGCCTTACTTTCAATCTAAAAAGATCTTTTCACAGCTCTTCAACAAGCTGATGATTTTACTGATATAATAATAAATAACTTTTCTTTATTAAGAGACCGACTCATCATATATATATATATATATATATATATATATATATATATATATATATATATATATATATATATATATATATATATATATATATATATATATATATATATATATATATATATATATATATATATATATATATATATATATATATATATATATATATATATATATATATATAACATAATTATTCTTTCTCTCAATACTACCAACTTTAAGTTTGCGTAAATAAATAAAAATAAAATAAAATTCTATGATGTACTTCATAGTGTGGTGACTCCATAGTAATAGATAAAAAATAGATTAATAAAAACTATACTTGTACATTATGTCATTACATTAAATGTTGTTATTAGCCGACCATACCAATAGGTATGGTAGGCTATTAAGATCGGCAAAAAAAAGTTTTTTTAATTTCACTCAAAATGAGTTATTTGGGTCGTAAATAACCTAAATACAAAATATTTTCATGGTGTCTGTCTGTCTGTCCGTCTGTCCGTCTGTCCGTCTGTCCGTCTGTCCGTCTGTCCGTCTGTAACACTATAACTCAAAAACCGCTGTACCGATTTTAACCAAATTTGGCACAAAAATATTGTGGCACCCGAGAATCTGGCCATTAGTTTTTGGTGGGGGTGGGGGATTAGTAAGGGTTGCTATGGGAGGGGGTTAAAAATTTTAAAAAATCGTCTCAACTAAATCGTAACTCCAAAATTACAGTAGCTAGCGAAACGCGGTTTTCAAATTAAGATTAGGAATAATATTTGCAACAATATTTGTAATAACATCAAAATCAGTCAAAGTCGCAGTTTTCGAGATATTAACACATTTTAGTATGGGCGGCTATACGTGCCTCCCGGCGCCAATTTTTTTTTGCTTTAGTTTTGTCCTAAATATTTTTGAGCTATGTTTTTAACCCAGAGCCGCCACTGATTCAGAGTAACGTTAAACAAACTATCTAAAAATGAAAATCTCAAAGAATACAAAAATGCTTATGAATAAAATTTTGTGTGATTTGTTTGCGTTAATACTAAAACTTATCTAATAAATATTAAAAATCAATGTATAAACAATAATGTTGTTTAATTTTTTTTATAATAATTTTTATTTTCGTTCAGATGGTTTAATAAGTTTTCTGGGGTTTATCAAAGGGTTTATCTAAGCTTCTTTTTTGTGCTAAAAAGTTTTCGTTTTAAATAATGCCGTATGGTCGAAAAATAAACGGCGTCCCGTTTGGCTTGGAAATGAATAACGACGGCATTCCCCATATAATACTAGATATAAAATGACAGCGCTCTTTATGTCATAGCCATCGCTGACGCCGTTTTTTTTTCGATTATATTATATTTTTATTGCCAGACTCTTTTCGTTCTTTATTATATTCTATCAAAGATCTATCTATACACCAGTGGCGGCCCGTCAGAGTACATACTGTTAATACACGGAAGTGTGTTTTAATACTCAATATTAATTTGATATATCTTGTATAACATTATTTTATTTTTAACATATTCACTACCGCTGGCGTACGCTGACCGCTGACTGTGCCACTGCGGTAGAAAACAAAATAATTTTGACCGTTGGAGTGCCTTTGTTCGGCGATTTCTGAGGCCCGATTCTGTAAAAACTTCTCTTGTCCAATGACTCATCAATCGTATACAAATAGCATAGGCTAGACAGGAAATTTCTTGCTACGGAGCTTACAGAATCCCACTGCTGCATCGCCTACTATCAGAGTCGATGCACGACGTACGGCAATCTTCTGTCTCTGTCTAACTCATCGTGTGGTAGAGACGCTTTAAGTCGGAGTTGTATCGTATTAAGGCGGGGTTTAGGCGAAATCTCCGGTCGCCTTCGCATGAAGTCGTGGAGGCTCGGTAGGCTTAGAAGTTAAGACGATATTCCCGATATTTCATTAAGGGATATATCACATTTCGTTAAGGGGATATTTCATATGATTCATTATACGTAGCATTTAAAACTTTTATATGAAAATTCAAAAAACGTTTAAAGCAAATTGGAAACATTTTTCAAGAGACATTTTTTGGAGATTATTCAAAACCGGTTGTAAAAAGCGCGTTATTTTATTGGGTGCAAGAAGACGATACAACAGATATTACAGAAAAGTCTCAGTGTGCTATTTCAATTCGATATGTCAATAAAAGCGGCTAAGTCAAATATCTTTGCGAATTTAATTTTATGAAATATTAGATAACATTGTTATACATTTAGAAATAAGGTTTGCAGATAGGTACTCGTATGTCTCAATTATTTTTATTTATCTCTTGCGGACTTGCAGATCCGAAATTTAAAGAATCCTATAAAAACAATTCCAACGCATTTGACATCTGATTTAACAAACTTGTTATATTGATACATTTCCAACGCATTGAATAGTGATTTAACAAACAAAAAATGTATTTGACCAACGTACAGTTCGTCTGCTGGATCTGTGTCTATGAAAGGAATGCGGACAAAAAACATTTAAATAAACAGCAATATATTTTATACGTCGACTTTACGAGTAGGTACGTCACCGCAAATTGCTCCGCCCACTCATTTTATTGGCTACTTGCAAGTTTGTCGAATTTTTATTGATGGGACGCGTCGTCTATTTTTTTACGAAAAACATCGAGAGAATATCGTTTCCCCTCTCACAGATACCCCGTAGCCACAGAACGGACTGTAAATTAATGAATAAATTGCAAGTTAATAATATATATGATAATTTCGATTATAAAATAATTTAAGGAGAATAATCCTGGAAATATATTTCCAGAGGCTTTCAAATTGTTTCTTTTGTTTGTTACTACACCATTTACAAGTACTTGGGTTGAGAGACATTTTTCATGTTTGCAGTGCATTAAAATTTATAGTAGAAATTCCATGAAAAATAAACGTTTATCGTCACTTACTTTCAATCGCCTTACTTTCAATCTGAAAAGATCTTTTCACAGCTCTTCAACAATCTGATGATTTTACTGATATAATAATAAATAACTTTTCTTTATTAAGAGAGCGACTCCTTTCTCTCAATACTACCAATTTTTAAGTTTGCGTAAATAAATAAAAATAAAATGAAACTCTATGATGTACTCCATAGTGACTCCATAGTAATAGATAAAAAAACATATACTTGTACATTATGTCAATCATTATGTCATTACGTTGAATGCTGTTATTTTTGCTTTAGTTTTATCCTAAATATTCTTGAGCTATGTTTTTAACCCAGAGATAACATATATTTACAAACTGGGTTATATTATTATGTAAATTAGGGGGGGGGGGCAATAAACGCAACTAAAATAAATTTTGTCGCCTGCCCAGTCACAAGGGTCACCAGCCGCCACTGCTATACACTAGAGAGCTTTTAAGCTGTACGCACACTGGTGCGATCACGGTAGCGATCACGATCTCCACGCGGCCGCGGCCAAAAGTTGCTGAAGAATACATATGAGCCGTTTCACATTGGCGCGATCGAGTTTTGGAGACGAAGCGGCCCACGGTGGGTGATTAGCATGAAAAAGGTGATCGAAATTCGAAAAAGCAAATGTGTTTAAGATTTCCCAAAAAAAGATAAATGATAAGTTAAATCATCTCTGCCATGAATGGCGTTGCTATGGGTGTGTTTAGTTGCATTCATTTGTTTCAACGAAACGTCAAAGTTGTTACTTCTCACAGATAAGAGGTAAATGGCTAAATTTTATGTTTAAAATTATAAATTGTTGTTGTTCTTGTGCTCTTTTTACGTTTATGTTATAGTTTTGATTGAAAATGGCTCAGCAAGCTGCAGGTATGTATTCTACAAAAACGTATTATTTATTTTGATATTCTCTATACCAACGATTTTTTTTGCAACTAAAAGTTAGGCGTTCAGAAAATTTGATTAAATTTGTGACATTTTTATTATACTTAGAGATTTAGTTGCGCATTTCGAAGAATTCAGCATATTGTCTATATACGTTTTACTTAGTAAACATTGGGCTTTCATACAGTAAAATAAAATACTGCGAATTTTTGCGACTTTGCTGATAAAATGAGAAAAACATTCTTGGTTTCCTCTAATTTGCCAATCAGTGATATACTAATGCGAGGTGTAAACCGCGATGACATTGTTGTGTACAAAGCGATCGCATTAGTGCCATTAGCAGTATAGCACAATTTGGCATTAGTAGCGACTTTAGTGGTATGGGCATTGCTCGCGGATCAGTCGTAGCATTAGTAGTATTAGTTGCGATATTACTACTGGCATTAGTGGCATTGACCGTGGAAACACTGGAAGAGTGATTTTTCTTTCTTTTTTTAGAATCGACGAATTATCCTTTATTTTGTTCATATTATTTCCTCTTTAATTGAAAATAGCAATAATTTATGTAAGGTCTGCATAAAAAAATTTCGATCAACTATCTGTGTCAAATACCCCACTGTGCGGCCTGGCGGCGTTCTATTCTGCGATGGCGATCAGATTCAACTTGTCGAGTTTGATCGCGTGATCGCGACCCAACTGATAGGAATTTTCAATTATTTTATTTTTTTTCTTGTTGCAATTTAGAAATGGAGTTAACAGAGCAGCTAATTAAGGCTGTAAAAATACACAAAATTCTATATGATTTATCCGATCCAAGTTACAAAAATAATAGAATTAAAAATAAAAAGTTTGAAACAAAATTGGAGTTGGATAGTACATTACATATGTGTACATTTTTATTGTTCATGTTTAAATATTGTAAAATGTAAAGAATGAAGAATTTAAGAATGTAGAATTTAAGAATGTTTTTTTTTTCGGTATACATAATTCACATTTTTAATTTATACCTATGTATACCTACAAGATAGCTCATTACATATAGGTACGGCGGTGAACGTGAATGCGTAGGTGTGTGCTAGAATGATCGCTCATGTTATCGCTACCCTGATGGTGATCGTGATCGCGGCCGTGATCGCACCAGTGTGCGTGTAGCTTTAATGTTGGTCCAATAGAAGCTTGTCTTGTTTAATTTATATCCAGCAGAAGAGCAATTGCACATGTTATTTACGAGAAAAATGGAAAAACATCACTTTACCAGAGACAACTTACCTAGTTATCTCTGAGTTTACTAAAGCAAACTCAAACGCTTCCTGTATGCATATGTGAATGCACAGTTCGGTCGCTGGAACGGAAACGCTACGTGTATAATAATGTGCATCGACCTTTTACACTTGACTCTGCCTTACTTCTTTGATGATTTGGTCATTTACCTTGTACCACATGTGCATGTGATTTTAAATGCCTTGTTAAACTCTTTGCACTAAAATTTTTGATACAGAATTCGCAGGACAATGCGATATTTTAGTTTTGCTAAAGTAAAGTCTAAGTAAAGGTGCAATTTCCTATATCTGGTTAGGATTAAATTTTTTAACATGTTTCCGAAGCACTTTTATTTTTGTTTTTTTTTTAGTATTCTGATCACTTTTAATATAAATATACCTAATACCTAACCTGTGCTATTAAGAACGTTCTAACAAAATAAACCAAATAACAATCAAACCTCCCAAAATAAACGTCTTTAACTTAATTATTGAAAATCACACATGAAATTAAGGGACAACAAACGGCAACATCGTTGGGTGCCTGAGAGGACTAGTGAGACGTAGACGCTAGTTATAAATGCGGTATTAACGGTATATGGTATATTATTATTTTCACATATTGTAAATAACATGATGAAAAATTTGCAGTAAACACAACTCTTCATTCTTTTTTCTCATTAATAAACATACCTAATAGTTATAGTATATAGTATGTTAATACTTGGTTAATACCGTATGATCGAAAAAAACGGCGTCCAGTTGGCTTGGAAATGACGATCCATGCCATTCCCCGTATAAATTTGCATATCAAATGACAGCGATGTTCATTTCATAGAACGCCGTTTTTTTTCAATCATATTGTAGATGGTTAAAAAACATTATATACCTAGGTAGGTATTTTTGGATTCGTAGGTAGGTATATGCTTTTTACATTTTAAAATACTTCTGTTTAGTAGATACACATATAAAAGAGAATATAAATATAAAACTTTAAAATTTCATATACCTATAGGAATAGAATAAGTAACTAGACCCTTAAACTAGACCTATAGGTATAAATAAAAAACCATAAATTAAATATTTAATAATAAATCTCTATTTAAAATTTAAAATTTTCCATGCGTAGCGAGCAAACTCGAACATATTTACCTTGAAATTATAAACCAATCAGAGAACTAGGAAGCCAAGCTTCCTGTCTCGTTTACTTTCGATCTGCTTTCGATGTTTCGCTTTATCTTCCTTTCGTCGTTTTGCTCGATAAACTAACAACGGTGGTCTGCACGCTCCGTATTTTTTAAGCTATTTTTGGTAATTTCCCGAAAAAAAAAACAAAAAATTTGTGTCTAAAATGGCAGATACCGAGGCACAAAAAAAGTGAGTTATATTTATCAATCTATGTTGGCTTTTTTTTCGTTATAACCATGACATTAATTGTACTCATTTTTGGCGGCATACTATAGCAAAATGGCGGCTTAACTTTTTTAGAAAAAGCCGGTAAAGCAATTTAAACAGTTCTTATTTACCTACTATGCTCTAAGTGGTTTTCTTATATTTCATTTTCATTAATTTCTAAATTTGTGCAGGTGTAATGTTACTTTATTAATTGTAAGGTTACATTTAACAGTAATGAAAACGAGGTCTTATTTAACATTTCAGTTGCATATATTTTTGTATATGTACACGTGTAAATATATTAACTATACATTTTTAACTTTAAAATATATGAGTGTTATAATGATTACCTCTAGTTTAATTTTTTTTATTTAAATAAAAATTCAGGTCATACCTCAGTAATGAAATTTAGTTATAAAACTATTTTATTAACGCTGGTAAATAATAGTTTGAAAGTTTTGATAGTAATTATTCATTTGTAAAAATTGAACATTTGAATATGTTTGTAGAGTTGAATCCACTGTTGATGAGGAGAAAGTTGAGAAGAAAACTGAAGAAGTAGTTGAGAAGTCTGAAAGTGAGGAAAAGAAAACAGAAAATGGTGAGGAAAATGGCAAAGAGCAAGAGGAAAGTGAAGAAGTTAAAGATGACACTCCTAAAGGTAAAATTATTATTTTACAAAATTCCTTTAAATGCATAGTACTTAATAGCTTATTGTTTATGTGTATTCACTATCTTCTAATGTTCCCAATGATGAGACAATTAATGCTAGGAGTGAGGTTTTAAACATTGGTAGATGCCAAGCTAATGATATGCCATAGCTATATGTTTAATAACTTTGGTGTCCTCTGTGCTAATGATTATGAGAGCTGAGGGAACATGTTCATTAAAATTGAAACTATTATATTATGGAAGACATCACAAAACTATTGTTAGTTGGTAGTTGGTACCATATGATTGAAAAAAGACATCAGCAATGGCTATGAAATGAAGATCGCTGTCCTTTTATATGTAAAATTATATGGGGAATGTCATTGATCGTCATTTCTAAGCCAACTGGACGCGTTTTTTTTTCGATCATACGGTATTAGTGATGTAACGAATATTCCCTGTGAATATTTGCATTCACAGAATTTATACTGATATCTGTGTTAAAAAAATATCTAAAATGTAAATTACACTGGATGAATTAAACAAACAAATATAAATTTGTTATAATTTTTAAATCACCATACTCTTCCAAGTAAGTATATCGAAAATTGTTATTAGATGTATTAATTGGAATCAGCACTTCACTTTAATATTAGTTTGGTTAGTACCTATTATAAATAACAAACTTCATTGGAAATTAGAAAACAAAAATATGTCTATTTTAGAAGAATCTTTTAGAAAACAATTAACATTTAAAAATTCTGTTTATTTTTAATTTTAACAACATAACTTTTCTATTCGGTGATAGAATAAATGTTTATAAAATTATATTCATTACATTACCTTTAGTTCACAAATTTGTCCAATAAAAAGCTAATTAACTTTTTTAGATATACCGGGTGCGTCTCAAAAGTGGCTCATCCCTATAACTTTTTTATTTTTTCTGATAAAAGAACGAGATTTGGTATGTTAGTATATGACATAAATTAGGATTGATTGACATATTCAATTGTTTCCGGTCACTTCCTGTTTCACCGGAAATGACTACAACTTTTGAGTTTTAAATGGCAACCTCTATATTTTTTTACTTTACTCGATAGAAAATAACACTCTGAATGAATAGAATGACATATATCATATGTCAACTTTTGACATTTTCCAAATGGTATATTTGAAATTATAACTTGCGGTTCTTAAGGAAAATTTAACTCGAAATTAAAGTGTGTTGTATCAAATTATTCATAAAAAAATGCTTTTTCCAAATATGCTAATGAGCCACTCTCGTTCTATTTGAAAAAAATGAGAGATAATTAAAAATACAGTTTGAGCATTTTCTAACTGATCAGGACAAGACACTAAAAACATTAGAAGAACATATAACAGAGTATATCCCCGGATTGTCTTTACTAGAGGAAAAGGTTTTTTATTATTGACTAAAATTCATTGTTCATAAAAATTTTTGCTTGTTCTAAAATGATTAATCCCGTTTAAACTTTTCCAAATACTGTTTTAGAGAAAATTAAAAAACATGAAAATGTTGCTCATTTTTTCCTGAAAGTTTAACCTAAAAACCAGAACGTGTTTCTATGGTAATATAATTTCATTTTTATTCTTTTATGATTGTTATTGGTAGAATTTTAATTAACGTCATATTTTTTGCTGTTTTAAAATATTAATGTCCACTTGCACCGTTTGTATAAACTTTGTTTAAAGGCTAAACAGTGATCTATAATAAAATATATAGTTAATCACTGTTTAAACAAAGTTTATACAAACGGTGCAAGTGGGCATAAAGAAGCACAAAATTATTTAGTTCAATGCTAAGGGTCATAATAGTTATCCGAAAATGTGAAACTCTAACAGCAAGAAATATGGGCGTTATTCAAAATTAATAAGAACCATCTATGAAAGACTAAAATCGAAATGCTATTACCATAGAAACGCCTTTTGATTTTTAGGACTTAGAAAACCGTATTTTCATGTTTTTTTTAAAGTATAAATGGGATTAACCATTTTAAAACAAGCAAAATTTTTGATGAAAAATGCGTTTTATTCAAAATGTCAATAATAAAAAAGTTTTTCCTCTTGTAAAAACAATCCAGGGATATACTTTATAGACGTTTATTAGATAGCATATTTTTTTCCAATTTTAAAAATATATCACATAATACCAAATACGTTTAAAATAAAGTATACAGAGGGTACCGCTTAAATTCCTGTCCCGATATTGAAGGATGGCTATAGAATTTCAATGCATTTCCTACATAAGTCTATCCTTGGTTTGTAGGAGGTTTGACTAAACAAGAATGAACCTATGTCTTGAAACCATTCGACTCGATTTTCTGTCCTCCTTCAATACTGGGACGTAAATCCTAAATTGCTCTTATGGGGAGGCCGTCGTATATTTTATTTAAACGTATTTGCATAATACCCTAAATATGATCGAAAAAAAATGGCGTCCAGTTGGCTGGAAAATGACGATCGATGACATTTCCCATATAAATTTACATATTGTTGCGGACCGGTGTGGACTCGACCTAACCTAACTATATGGCCCGCCCTCGGATGACCTTAACATCGCATTAAAGAATAGACACCGTAATAATTCATCGAAGATTCGAGAAGAATCGAGTTCCACTAGAATGGAGTAGTACATACGAGAACAATCGAAACCTTCTCTATGCACCTAACGATCTATGGACTATTCTAGAGATCTTTAGCTGTCGGTATAAAAGCCGGCGGCTGTGGCCTACAGAGGGCAGTTATAAATAGACGAGTGCAGTTGACGCGCTAAAATTCAAAAAATAAATTCTTGGTTATAAATCATTTGTAAATAGTTCTTTAAGTCTTTTACCGTTATTGTTTTTATAATTAGTGTTAAATAAATAGTGTTTAAATAAATTGTGACTTTCTATCCATACGGAACCGACGAAAAACGTAACAATATAAAAGGACAGCGATCTTCATTTCATAGCCATCGCTGGTTTTTTCTCGATCATACGGTATATGCCTTTTAATAATAATAATATGTTAGCTATGTATATGTCCATCTACATACCAAACCAATAAGCATTTTAATATGATGTATATTTTATCAAATTTAGATAAAACTTTTAAAAAGAGGAGATGTGTTATATTTCTAAGAGGTCAGAAGAAAAACTGTTTTTTTTTTAACGAAGTTTACTCGTTACTCTTTACACTAATAGTATATTCTGTGTCCCATTTAAAAAATATATTTATACCAATAACTGGGACATTTGACAGTATGACTGCTAACATGCAATAAAACTTAACCAGTAACTGTATAATTTGTATTTTCAATGAATGTTTTGAATAAATTAAATTAACGTTAAGAATTGATGGTTTAAGTGGTTGATTTAAACATTCCCCATCAATAAAAAGACATATTGGCTAAGAATAACTCTATTTGATAGTCATTAAACTATTTAAAAAAAACAAAACAAAATAAAACACTAAATCACCACAATACACCAAAACACTTTTACTTTTACAGTGGACGCGCTTTACAATCAATAGTTTATAATCATCTGCTGATGATGCTAACATGGTTAGCGAAACGCGCGTCCAGTGTAAAAGTAAAAGTGTTTTGGTGTATTGTGGTGATTTAGTGTTTTATTTTGCTGTGTAACACCTAAGGTTCCAACCCTCAACTGTAATTAAACTATTTATTTTTTATACGTTAATAGATCATCTGTTTTTTAATAAAAATAATTTCTAATATTTAGTACTTTGATGTGCTTTCAGATAAATGCTCTATAAAAAGGAAATCAACCGGAACTGATTCTTTGGATGCTAAAACTGAAGAAACAACTCCAGAAAAGAAAGCCAAGCTTGATGAGGCCGTAATCGAATCCAAGGCGAATGGTGAAGTAACAGAAGCTGAAGCTACAGCCTAATTTTTGAATTCCTATTTCACAAGTTAGTTTTTGATTGATTAAATAACTGAGACCAATATGCCAAATGGTCTTTAATTTTTAGCCAAACTAAAGCTAATTTGTTAATACCTTTTTTATTTTAAACTTATGTTTTGTACATGTATAATGGTAGGGTTAAGGTAATCATTGCAGAGGCTGGCTACATTAGTCCAGGATAATAACATTAAGTTCTTTAATGCAATATAATTTCTCCAATGTATAATTTAACCTTTTGAGAGTACAAAGTAATGGTCTGTTTCGATTTGAAAATATGACCCTAACATTAGACATAAAAATGCAAGAAATGACAATTTAATTTTGAAAATTGCATTTTATTAATGATTTTGGTATTCAAGTTTTAATAACTTGGTATCAAGTTTTAATAACTTGGTATTGATATTTTATGTGGTATTTGTCATAACAAACGCCAAAGTTTTAGTGGTGCGATTGTGTACTTATCTCTATGTCCCTTAATTTTATATTTTAACAGAAAGTTTCTCTAAAGGGCATGTCTGGTGTTGTGATTTTATGTATTATATATAACTCGTGAAAAATGAGTTCTAGAAATATTTAATAGTTCTACTTAATACAAAAATTGTGAATCTCAGAGCCAGCTCTGCCATAACCTCACTAACAGGTTCTAAATGTGTTCATATCAAGATAAAATAGTACTAATTTTTGCTATTCTAATACACCATCCAGTATTTCAGCAGAAAATATATAATGGTCGTTTTTCATATACATATTTTAACGTAAAATTTAAAGGAACTGTTAAGAAAATATTTTTTAGTTTGTTCCTATATGGATTATTTTAAAAATTAAATTAATTCTGTTACACTGTTGTAATACAAATAAAGTTTACTTTTCTTATGAAATTAATGGGTGGTTTTAATATTAAGTTATTTTTTACTAAAACGTGTTTTTGAATATTTTAAGGAAAAGTTTGAGAGTTCAAATAACAGTCTCTATCCTATTGTTCAATGTATCTGAAAGTTGCATTTATGCCACATAGTACAAACCAAATTTGTATTTTATTAGTGGTATATGGCAATAAAGAGTTAGTTTCCAGTATTAATTTTGACTTTTATTATTTTGTTAACACATACAGAATTTGATTTAAAATAGATTTTTGGAGTACAATTTATTGGTCAAAATCGTAAGATTTGTACAATTTATTAGCAGCTTTGGCAATATAGCAATAAGTAATATTACTATAACTGTTAATGAGTTTTACAAATTTCTGACTAATATGAGATGTATTATAAAATATAGATTATTGGAATATTACCAAGTGACCTTTAGCTTTCCTGAATTCAATAGTAACTAATAACTTATTTGAAACCATTTTTAAATGCTCTAAATGTTTCTATGACAATTTATGATGACGTTTGATCGCCAGACTAAATTTTAGTGATGTACGCTCATATGGAATATCTAGTCTGCTAGTAGGCCTGACTGCAAATATTAATTTAAAAACAGAAAACTTATTAAATCATCTGAACCAAAATAAAAATTATAAATAAATTAAAAAACATTGTTTATACACTGACTTATTATTTATTAGATAAGTTAGTATTAACGCGTATGAAGCTAATTATATACCTAAATATACAGGGTTGTTCAGCACATACGACACGGAGTATAGTAGCAAAACAATTAGATTTTTACAAATTGTAAGTTTTGGGTTCGTTGAAGGACTATTAGAGCTACAATTTAAAAATATTTTTGCAAGATACAGAGTGTCCCAAATAAATAAAAAAAATATCAAAGTTGTATTTCTTTAAATATGGAACACCCTGTATTCCTGTATATTATTACATTTTTAGTTTCTACGATTAAAATAAAGATAAATTTGATTAAGGTTTATCATACTTAAACCTTACCGTTTTTGAAATATTTTCAATTTTGTGAAATTGCAGTAAAAATTTAGACTTCATTTCTCCAAGGGTATCAAACTTTTTAATACTAAATATTTACTGAAGTTTATTTATTGATCAGTTATTGTGCTCAATAATATAAATAATACTACCTCATACAGAGTGTCTAAAAATTTATTTTAAATAACTTCTAACTTTAAACGGCAATAACTTGTTTAATTTAAATGGTACACCCTGTATATTTTAGGAGAATCGATGAACAATTTAATTGTCTATCAAATTGTATTATACCATTTTTTACCTATCCCTTCAAGTTTTCGTAGAAAATGCATTTTCTTTTAATTTAGACCTCATTTATCAACATACCCATGGAATAAAAACGATAATATTACTAGCCTATTTGTATACAAAAAGGAAACTATTTAAATCTTTATAAAAGAGAATACCATTAATTAAATATACCACAATTATTTCCACTCAAATATTAATTAATTACATACTTAATTGTCTTAGTTAATAAATTATCCTAAATTAATAAATGTGAATTTGAATCAGAAATCAATATAATAATAAGTTATGAAAATGAACGTCTCTGTTGTTATAAATAAGCATTCGTCAAAAAATGAAATAAAATTTTTAAGGTGTTACATTTTACCACACTGTCTAATACACATACAAAATTCAGTTTTTTAGTATTTGGAGCAATTATTATTAATCAATGCAAATAGTAAATTAATGTAGTTTGAATACTGGAATGATATTAATTGGTCCTCTTTAACAAATATTTAAACAGTTTTATTTATATTTTTTAATGAAACCATCGAGTTTAAATTAACGAACTATATCGACAATATTATAGTATCTGTACTCTTTAAAAATTTGTTACATCTTTAAAAATAATCTAACATGTCAATATTCTATGGGTATATTGATAAATAAGGTCTAAATTATAAGAAAATGCATTTTCTACGAAAACTTGAAGAGATAGGTAAAAAATGGTATGATACAATCTAATAGACAATAAAATTATGCATCTGATTCTCACAAAATATACAGGGTGTTCCGTTTAAATTAAAAAAGTTATTGCCGTTTAAAGCTAGTAATTATTTAAAATAAATTTTTAGACACTCTGTATAAGGTAGAGTATATATAATTTTTATTATTGCAACACAAAATTTAGTAAATAGAAGTACTTCAGTACAATATTTACTTTTAAAAACTTAATACGTATAATGAAATTATTACTGTATTTTGACAAAAACCTAAATATTTCAAAAACGGTAAGATTAAAATGCGGTAAATCTTAATCAAATTTACTTTTATTTTAATCGTAGAAACTAAAAATGTAATAATATACAGGGTGTTCCATTTAAAAAAATACAACTTTGATATTTTTTATTTATTTGGGACACTCTCTATGTTATAAAAATATTTTTAAATTGTAGCTCTAATTATCCTTCAACGAACCCAAAACTTATTACATTTTGCAAAAATCTAATCGTTTAGCTACGATACTCCGTGTCGTATGTGGTGAACAACCCTGTATAAGTTGTTAATGTAATTCACAAGATTTCCAAATACAATTTTATTATGAAATAAAGCAACTTATAATGAATAAGTGATTTTTAAAGAAAGTAATATACCTATATTTCTTTAATAAAATACAGCACATATTGTTAATAGCTTAATGGATGGCGTGAAAACATGTAATATTTATATTATGAATAGTTTAATTACAGGTATTGTTTATAATAATTATTAACTTAAAAATTGTATTAATAATTAAAAATAAGATAAAATTTGATGATTGGCAACATTGGACAAGAATTTGTAAATGGCGCAATCAGCGTTGCCAGAGCTGGTACATTTGTACAGATCTGGTACATTTTGGAACCGTTTGTACCAAAGTACATTTTTTACATTTCTGGTACATTTTTTAACAGTAAACATTGATTACAACAATAATTTTTTGAATAAAAATCGGCAAATTACACTCCAAATATCGAAAGTTCAAAAAAATCGACAATTTTTCCTAATACCGCTCATCACTAATTTCGTTTTCTACATCGCCGGTATCGCCCTCTATCAAATATAAGTCAAACTATATTCTGCCAACCCTGCCAAGAATTCTTTTTCTATCTGTGGCTGACAGTGCCGAGACGACTTTGACTGATGCGCGATTTGTCTGGTACATTTTCGATCAAATCGATCAAAATCTGGTACATTTTTAGCACAGAATAGTACAATTTTGGAAAAGTCTCTGGCAACGCTGGGCGCAATGACGAAGATGTCCGAATGACGACGCTAAGGTGATGTTCATAGTCAGCGACCTAAAGCACACAATTACCTATTTTCATTTCAGAAAAATTTATCCTGGATAGAGATGGAAAATTTAGTTCGCTTTACTGATTTCCAAAAGTGAATAGTTCCAAAAATTAGTTCGTTTTCGTTTAGTTCTTAGTTCATTTATTCTACTGTTGTTCGAATCTAATTCGGATTTAATTTAATTCATAATTCATGTTTATATATGAATATATGAACAGAGATATGAATAAGAACTGCAAGCCCACACAAAAACAATCGAAATTCATTCGTGGAAATTTCGTATGGACTGGATACATGATACAAAGAAAAATGGAATGGATACATGCAAGGATACATGATACAAGTCAGTTATGACTGTTATGAGATAGCTCTGCTGGAGTTCTGGAGATAGTCAGCGGCTAGATCATGGCTAGATCTGGCTAGATCACCGATCACCGATCGGCTAGATGCCATCTAGATGCTATTATACCTGGATGCTACCGGTACCCGACAAGAAAATAAGTAACCTAGGATATCGGACTCGATGACTTGTACACGGATGACGCACGGACGTATTTAAAATACATTTTATATTTTTTATATACGTCCTTGTCATGATTGTAAACCAGCCTTTAGCTTAGAAGATCTGATAGAAGAAGTAGGGTTATCGGCATCGCGTCGTTGACATTCCTTCTTGATGATAAACAAATTTATTTAGAGATAAAAATAAAGTTGGAATAAATAGCCGTATATTTATTTTAAAAGTGTTTGTTTAATCGCAGTTCTCTTTTGAACCCTGTTCAAGATGATTCACTTAAAACTTGGTTTGTTATTCTTTGTTCTTTCAGCAGCCAATTGTGAAAATTTTGTCAGGTATTTATTTTATTTTATTTTTATATGAATTAAATACTAAAATACTCTTAATATTCTTGGTTTTTATTTAATGAATTCTTGTTTATTTTATTCCAAAAGTATATCCCTTAAAAGCTCACTAAACGTTTTAATATTTGATGCCAAAATATTGCATTAGAGTCTTTGGCATTAGCTTGTGAAATAAATGCGTAAAGAACTAATTGTATGACAAAGAATATTATGATTTATATCATTAGTAATTTAAATAGTAAGTACATATATGGAACTGTTCCATTTTTATTTTCGCGTCCCAAGTATACTTGAAATATTGAAAGTGATTTTTGGAAAGAATGGACCTGACCGGTTTTGACTTATTGCACTAATTAATCCAATTAAATTTGTAATCCTACAGTTTTTCATATTTGATGCAAAACATTGCAGTTAAAGAATAAACCATGAGAATTTCAATTAAGAATTTAAGTAGATACACATATATTTTTAGACTGTTATATTTTTAATTTTAATTATTAGTGTAGTCAAATTTGACTCTTAACATTGGGATCTCGGAAACGGTACGAGGAAGGGGTTGCACAAATTTGGCTAAAGTTGCTTGTTAATGACTCCCACAATAAACCATTTAATAGTTACCTGTAATATTTGGTATTTTGCAAAATGTGTTGCCCTGAAGTGGAGTGCTCATTTTTGATCATCTTGTGGTTGGGTGCCATTTTTGTACTTGAAGCTGGTGGAGTGTGTGTCTGTGCAGGTAGTAAAAATATTATCATCCATTCAATATTCCACTCATTTAAGACGAGGCTGTTAGGAATTTTGGACTACAGAGGAAGGCTGTCAGGATAGTTGTATGTCTCTTCCTTAATTTGAGCCACTCTATTATCATTTCCTAAAGTGGAATGTACCCTTTGAAATGTCCTATAAATATTCATACACACAGTACTAATATTTACATATTTTTTTAAATATTTAGATATTTTTTATTGCCTTTATCAGTATGATTTTTGTTATTTCTTCTACACATGGTGCTTAATAAAATGGACCTAATTAGGGTTCCCAACCGTCCCGGTTTAGCCGGGATCAACCAGGAATCAGAAAGTTTGTCCCGGCGAAAGTTTTGCCTTGGCCGGGACCTGGAAACTAAAAAAATGTGTACTACACACATAATATATTTTATTTTCTAATATTTAATGTCTTGCTTCAATTAATTAAAAGCTTAAAAATAATTGTCCCGGAATCGCCGATGCTCAAGTTGGGAACCCTAGACCTAATTGTGCAATCAGATTTATTACTTTGTATCAGTATTGGATACTGTGGCTGATATTACAATTTGATGCAACTTATATGCTTCTTTCGTGACAAGTGAAGTCTCTATATCAATTGTTATATTGAATATTTCAATACAACAATTAATATGAAACCCCGTCTGTAGCTACTATTATAGGACAGAATAATTGGCGAAATTTTACATTGGCCGAGGTCTCAATATAAAATAAATATAGAAAATGTATTTGAATATCTGTGAAAAAGAGAAAGTGCACGCTAAAACGGCATAAAGTCATGTTTAATTGTTATACATAATAGTTTAATTTTTTAGAGTATCTTTGACCAAAGGAAAGTCTGTTCGAAACACTCTTCGAGATGTAGGTACTCACGTCCAGCAAGTAAAGTTGAGATATGTTTCTGTTGATCCTTCTCCAGAGCCTCTAACTAATTATTTGGATGTAAGTAATTTTTTTTAGATATATATATATTTTTTTGTATAACTTGTACACAAATGAAAATTGTAATCAGTAGCTAGGTAACCAAGGGCCCTGGCTCCACTGCTATGTAAACTGATTACATTTTATCAAATAAAAATATGAAATATACAAATACTTTAAAAATGCTAAGCTACTTAAGCTCTTTTTTGTGCACTGCAGGGCAGGCAATAAAAATATTAAACAGTAACAACATAAATTACAATTAATACTTGGTGTAGCTTTGGCTAATAAAACGAAATAGAGGAGATTCAAGGGTTTATTATATAAAGGTCAGGCCTACCAACTGACTAAATAACAATTATATTTACAATTTTTCCTAGCTTTAGTTTTCGCAAAAGTATCAATGACTTCATTTAAATCCAGGCTTGATGCAGTTTTGTTTTCAATTGCTATTAGCGATAAATGTTGGAGTCGAGTTTGGCCAATATTATTTCTTAAATAATTTTTTATTATTTTTAATTTGCTAAATGACCTGCAGAAGTGACAGGAAACTGCTGCAGAAGTGACAGGAATTGTAAAGAATAATAAAGCATACCGCGCACTTATGCGCAGCGCGGCGCGGCGAAGCGCGGCGAAAAACCGTGCAACGGATTAAATTTGTGTTATATAATGCACGTCCGCTGACTCAAGCGAAGCAACCGCTTGCACCGCGCGCCGAAGCGCCGTTCGTTGCAGACCTGGAATCCAAAGCGAGGAAATTCTCTTCGGCGCGCTTCGCGTGCCCTAGTGCGCGGTGGTCTGCGGAAACTATCTCTGTTTTCGGTCATTTTCGAAATCTATTTCGGGTGTCTTCGGATGAAGGATTCTACGATTAATGTATTACTAATTGGCATTTAGGTTACGTTTAATCAAGAGCCGTTTTGTTTCGTTTGAGTTTGTTTAGTACTTGTAATTTAATTATTGTTTTATCATGGATGATGAAACGTTCATTTTAATTATACAAAGTTATAAAGAGATATATGATATTGGAGATCCCAATTATCATAATCAATTGAGAAGGGACAATATTTGGGAAGAAATTGAAGAAAATGCGGAAGAAATTGAAGAAAAATTATAACAGCTTTTCTCTCAATGAACCACCTCGAAGTTATAACAGCTTTTCGCCCGATGAACCCGGACAAAAGTAATTTTTATTTATGTATTGCTATTTGTACATCACATATAAAATAAAGTATTTTCTACCAATGTACAGACTACTTAATTTAGAATAATGAAAAAATCTATCCATTTAAAAAAGCATGCATTACATAAAATAATATAAATTATTCTCTATTAATTTTATTTAGACAATATTAAAAACTTGCCTGAGACAAACTGAAAGTCTTTCGATAACGTCAATTGAGCAGCGAAATCTAGAATTTTGACGCTCTATACTTGGTCTTAACAAAGAAAGAAGTTCACTAAATTTTTCGTGGGTCATTCTATAATACTTGAAAAATTTTCTTTCGTCTTCCAGAAGATCTGAGTGAAGGTGATGGAATTCTCCGTACGTATTTCTTTTTATATTTATATTATGAATCCAAGATTTTCTTTTTTTGTTCTCACGCATTTCTTCTTCCTCAGCTATTGTACATAAAGTAAGAAAATCTCCCTCTGAACTGCTGCTAGAACTTGAGCACATAATGAAATTTTAACACACCTTTATCAAACCGTCATAGAGATAACACTAAAATTAAAACGGTCAGCTCAAAACAACTTTAAATACCAACCGCGTACGCAAAACCGTGCATAAGTTAGCGGACCCATCAAAAATTCGCCGCGCTGCGCCGCGCCGCGCTTCGCATAAGTGCGCGATATGCTTAACATTGCTGTAAATACTTCCGTTAGGTCGCATTCTGGCACTCCATATTTGCTCATTATTTCCTTTCTACATACCATTCTTTCCTATTCTAAATCATAATTGGTGAACAGTGCATGCTTGAGTTAGTTGAGGTAAAACTAGGTGGTAAATATTAGTAAATTGAAGTGAAAAACTAGGGCCTATTATATCTGAATATTTTCTTTGGAATTCGTCACACTTTTGTAATAAAGTTGCTTCATTAATATGTAATAAAAATGTTAGTGTTAGAAAATCGAATATATGACAGACTGCACTCATACCAATAAAACGTGTATCTAATTGAGATATTACTGTGTCTAATACATTATTCATAATCTCAATTTTAAATATTTTTTCTCGGTTTGGAAATTGGTGATCAGCAGCTAATTCATCAAAATGTTTTTTAACTTTTCTTTTTTCTTGAAAATGGGTATCAATACCATATTTTCTTGCAGTTTCACTGGCTTTGCACTTGAACAATTCGAAATCATTTCTATAAATTTGCAACTTTGCTTTGGTCTCTGCTAAAACTTTACTCGCCTCGCCCAAATTGATGTCTTATTTTTGTAAAGTTTTGGATGCATAATTGATGTCGTTCAATACACTGCACATAAAACGCACATATCACTATCTGTCAAATTGACAATACTGCCAACCTACAGAAAGAATTTAGGGGAATTCCCTAGGTATAACTTTTGAATTTCTCTCAACTGAGTTGTCATGATTAAAGTGGGGTTGCAACCTGTCATATTTATTTTGAAAATGGGAGAAATTTCCAAAAGTTCAGTTCGATCAAGATTTCTGTTAAAGATTCGAGGGCCCCCTGAGCTTGAGGGCCCTGGGGCACTGCCCCGCCTAGCCCCTAGGTAGCTACGCCACTGATTGTAATTCTTTAGGTGGTCATCTTGGTGGTCATTAAGCATTACTATTATATTTGGTCCAAGAGTAGGTCTCGCGATAAAGACGATTAACTCTGCCCAGAATTTTCTAAGAGCTATTATTATCAATAATTTCCTGATAAATTGAAAAAAAAACTGAAGTTATAAGGCTTAAACCTATATTAAGTAGTTTAAACTTTAATAGTGGGTCATGCTTCCCATCTTAATCCTAACATAACAAGAATATGAATCAACGTTAACGAAGACTAGCGTTCATGCTTCCAACGCATCGATCTTAATGTTAGCCTTAGTCCTAACTGGTTCTAAGAAATATGAGATGTTTTATATTCTTAGGGTTAATGCTAATTCTCTCTCAAAATTTATTTGCGCATGCTCAAAACTAGAAGTTATTTTCCAAATAATATTTGACATGTTAAATTTGACTGTTTGTAAATGTTAATAAATTATCGTAAATTATTTATTTTTTGCTCTAGAAATTAAAATGTAAAACTTAGTCTCTCTAGTAGTTGAAATACTCAAAACATTTGACAAATTAGGTCAGTTTTAAAACATGTTTCATATGAGCAAGCGCATACTAGAATATTCTTAAGACTAGCAGGAGAAATATGAACGGCGTTTCCTTAAATTCTTAAGGTTAATTTCTTAGGGTTATGCAAAATTCCATATTTCTGTTTCACTGTTTGGGCTTCCCTTTTTAGAGATTAGGCTGAGTATAGTTATATGTATATGGTGTGAACCCACCATACAACGTTAAAAATCATTTTTGACCACTTATCTAACTGAAGAATCGGGTCGAAGTGGACGTTGAGAACTTAACTTTGCATACTCTTTTATTAGAGAACAACGGCATACGGTCGAGTCGGCCTACAAACACGTAAACGTTTACGTACGCATGCGCATTTCTGATATTTCTTATTTTTTATACACGTAGAAGATTCTTTACGTCTACGTATACGTGTCAGCAGCGGCCGACTCGACCGTATGCCGTTGTTCTCTATTATCTTAAACTAAAAAAATAATCGATAAACTAACAACGATTCTTCCCTGGATATTTTTATGAAACTTGACGTAAAATTAAATTCTGAACAACTTTTCTCTTGGCTTTTATCAAGGTTTTTTTAAGATTTTTTGTTTGTTGAAGTAATTCGGTAAAAACGCTTTTCAATAGCAATTGTAAAAAAATTACATTTATGCCGAACGTTTTGGAACACGTTGTATGTATATACAATATAAACAGGGTGCAATGATTTAAATCAACTTGATTTAAATCAAAAAAATCAACTTGTTTAAAAATTTATGATAACACTTATTTCTGGGACACCCTGTATATAAACAGGGTGCAATGATTTAAATCAACTTGATTTAAATAAAAAAAATCAACTTGTTTAAAAACTTATGATAAATCGAAAGATAACTGTAAAAATTATAAAAACTTTTTCTATAAAGCTATAAAAAAGTATTCCTATATCAAATATACCCTATACCTATTCATCAAATAAGTACAAAGTTACACTTGCTGTTGTAACGTTTAAATACCTAAATAGATCAAAAATAATTGTAAAAGATATATACACATAACACATATCCCTAATAGCAATTCATCTATTAAAATGTTGGACCGATTTTTGAAGTTATTTCGTTTGAATTCATTACACTTCTAAGGGTAGCTGCAACAACGCGACGTCCCGTAATCCTGCTGTTAAAACAAAACAATTGGTTTTTATATAATATAAAAACCAGCTGGTATGTTTTAACCGCAGGATTACGGGACGTCGTTGCAGCCACACTAAATGGCAGAGGTTTATTTTGAAATTGTGAAGTGCCAGAAATCCGGTATTTGAATACACTTCATTCGCAAACTCTAGCGCAGAACTATTTTCTTCTGATGTCAGGTTGTATTTTTATTTCCGAGGACTAATCAATGTCAAAAGATAAGCTGGAGTCAAGGCTGTTTTATACCATATGATCGAAAAAAACGGCGTCAGCGATGGCTATGAAGATCGCTGTCATTTTCTATGTAAATTTATATGGGAGATGTCATCGATCATCATTTCCCAACCGACTGGACGTTTTTTCTCGATCATACGGTACCTTTTTTGAAACAGCTAAATGTTGATCAAGCTAACTTCCGCCTTTCCTAATTTTAAATTATTTGTATAATGTTTTGTATTATCTTTTGTTTGTTTGTTTGTGTACCTTGTTTTTTTTTACTTTGTTGTTAGTGTACCTTGTTTTTTTTTACT